GTTTCAATATGTATTTGTTTAAGTCATATTCATACACAGATTATTAAATTCTTCATTTTTATTGGTCTGGAGTACTACGTGTGGCCGCCTGAGGCAGAGGGGCCATGAGAGAATTTTCCTGTCTAGATTGATATAGGGATGTTTCAGGAAAGATAGCCGCCTGACAGGTTTTTTCCCCCTCACACTCCTAAAGTTACTTAATGTTGCTTTGACACAAATTTAAACATATATGTTATAATTTATGTTTTTCGAGAATCTGCATAGTCTCAAAGGGGGGAAATATGTGGTGTCTGAAATGCCATGTGTTGTTTTCCCTTTAAAGGAAGCCTATCTCTGGGTTTGAGGCCCACAGGTCCTGAGGAATTTGGAGATAGCCTGATGACCTAACATATATATGTTAGGTCATTAGGACACAATTCTAAGGGTGACCCTACATTTGAGCTGGTGCCTTTCCTTCCCTGTTATCAGACGGATGAGGTGAGCTGGATGAAAGCCAGATGTGTTTTCTTTAGATTCACGAAAACAACTCATTCATATACAAACAACGACAATGAAATGGAAAAATAGTGCAATGATGCAGAGTGCAAAGATGCTTGAATAAATATGGAAAGATTTTCATTGGATACTGTATATACATGAGGTAGAAGGGATTTTTGTATATATATATATATAAATATATTATTAAATATATATAATTTAGAATGTATAGATACCGGATTATTGCACACAGATTGTTCCTGACACTGAAGTGTTCATCAGAGTGATGGCCGAAGGAAAGAAGCTGTTCTTGTGTCTGGTATTTTTGGCCCTCAGTGCTCGGTAGTGCCTACCAGAGGGGAGGTGTTGGAACTGGTTGTGTCCAGGGTGTGAAGGGCCTGCAGTGATGTTTCCTGCCTGTTTCCTGACTCTGGAGATGTACAAGTCCTGGATGGAGGGCAGGCTGGCACCAATTCTTTTTTCCATAGACCTGACTGTTGTAGTCTGTTCCTGTCCTGTTTGGTGGCCGATCCAAACCAGACAGTGATGGATGCACGGAGAACAAACTGGATTATGGTAGTGTAGAACTTGATCAGCAGCTCCTGAGGCAGGTTGAACTTCCTGAGTTGGAGCAGGAAGTACATCCTCTGCTGGGCCTTTTTGGTGAGGGTGGCATTGGAGGCCCACTTTATATCCTGGGAATGTCATGTTTCAAAAGAATTGATTGGTCAGCAGGGAGAGCTTTTACTGCTTGATCTCTTATCTCCAACTTAACCTGCACCGGAGCAGGTTAGCCATTCAGCATAAGTTACCATGGTGATTTAACCGGATACAAAGTGATCAAGCTTGGTAGGACTGGAAAAACTGAATTTAACCTGAATGTTTTAACTCTGCTGCAGAGATAACTTGTTTTTGTTTACATTACATCGATACCAGCGTCAGCTCTTATCTCCAAAACTCTAAAGCTTTTGAAATCTTTGTCTGTTTCTTCTATGGCTTCTTCATCCTGATATATTTGTATTCTTTTTTTAAAAATGTATTGCTTCTGTCTTTGTCTGTTACGTCATCAACACTCACTTGCAGGGAGCCAGACAGAGGAAGTCTTTACAGACTCTGGAGTTTCTCCCTCGGACATATGCATTCACACTTACAGCCACTGTGGAGTTCAGTGCATGTCTGAAAGTAGCATGAGATAATTTTGGTTATGGATTATAATTATACTTTTCTTCTCTGGTTATTTTTTGTGATTTAAATGACCCTGCATTTTTCTATATGTCTTCATGGGTTTGCTTGTTGTGGAGAGCAACAAATCAAATATAATTGTCACAAATTCAAATATTACTCTGCTGGTGTACAGCAGATTAACATGTTTACATTTCAATGAGACAGAAGTGGTTGGTTTGTACATTTGTCAACTCATTGACAACCCTCGGGTTACTGTGGTAGCTGATCTGGTGGCTGGTGATAGCTCCTCCTCACCAAGCACCGTGGCCTCAACGCCACCCTCACCAAATAGGCCCAGCAGAGGATGTACTTCCTGCTCCAATTTTAATCCTTTGTGTCAGTCCAAATCTCCCACCATAACTGTATCCAGAGCACTTAAAAATGTTGTCGCATTATTAAGTGGCATAGCAAATTTCATGTTCACCTCTTTGTGAAATAGGTGGCCTATTTCACAAAAATATTTTCTTGGTGTTGTGTGTACAAGACAAGTGACAGTCCTTATGGTTGAGGACTTGTTACACTTACATTTTCCATTTCTTTTTCCATGCTTAGAACCAATTTACTTCTCAGTCATTCCTGCTGTTATAGCCTCTTTAAAATAAAAAACTAAATTGTATTTTCTGTTAATAAACTTTTTTAAATGTTTTCTCTTTCTGTGTCACTTCTCAACCATATGATGTCACATATCCAGCTGAAACATTTAGCTTTCCAATTAATTGGTTTGGACTAGCTGTGGTCTGAAGTGAGGTATGTGGAACAAAGAGGCGAAAGGATGCAGTGTTCCTACTGAAGTTGTAATACAAATATGCAGGTATCGTAGAAATGTTACCAAATCAATAAAACAAAAAAGGTATCTATATGAAATCTATTTTTTATCAAGCTTAATCTTAAAAACAGATTCAGTATTATTGTTGGTGACTTTAATATTCATGTTGAGAATAATAATGATAGCCTTAGTACTGCATTCATTTCAGATTTAGACTTAATTTGGTTTCAGTCATTGTGTACACCAACCTACTCATTGTTGTAACTGTTATGTACATTTTCTGGAAGCTGGTGAAAGGAGAACTCAGGCAGCAGCTGATGTCTTATGCAGAAGATTTTAATGTAGACTTGATGCATCAAGGAGACCAGAAGGTGCAACAATATACAAACACTACAAGAGTAACATGAGCAACTGTCAACCCTCAAGTCTCAAGATGTCTCCCACAGCATCCCCATATACAGTATCTTCTTCTACTTGCGTCACCCATTTTAACAGCACATCAATGAATGGCTAGAATTGCTGTCACTCTCTATGCCACATGTTGCTGTTTGCATCCTATTGGATACTGGTATAATACGCAAAAGAATTGAAGATGGTGAGACTTGAAGTTTGTGCCTCTCTGTCTAGGGCAGGTAATGCTTGTGCTTCCAATACTTTTTATTCAGTTATAACAGCTTAGCAATATTTTTTATTTTACTTTACTTACTCACCCATCCATGCACATAATCAAATCAGTATTTGGTATTGGTCTCTGCAGCAAATCTGGTCTTTTCATCTGTCATAGGAAGAAGAGTTTCTGGGTTTAGAAGTGGTGAGCACCTTAATTTTAGGTGGGGGCTTGTGAATGATCATTTAATAGCCAGATTGACAAGCTGCTTGTATGAGCTGAGTAGTAAAAATCTTCAGAATATACAAAACTGAATGGGGAACATGAACCACATAATCATGATCCAAAACAATGGGTGAAATTAGATTTGTCTTCTTTTTTTTCTTTTTTTTTTTAATCTTTAGGGCAGCAACGGCTACAGCCATGAGAGTCAATCTGCCAACAACAGGAGACACAGGAGCCCTTTTGAGGTCATTAAAAACCTTGTCCATCTCCTTAGTCTGTTGTGCTGTGGTCAGCACAGCCTGAAGCATGGCAGTGCACATGATGGAGTCCATGGCAGCTTACTCATAGATTCAGTGTCTAGAATAGTTTGCCATTCCAAAGAAAGAGAGCATTTCCTTTTTTTGTCTTGGTGGAGGCACATTGTTCAAGACTTATACTCTCTCAAGCAACGAAAGCTCTGTCCATCTCTCAGCACCTTCCCCAATGTAGCCACTGGTGAGCAGATCTGTAGTTTAACCAGGATTGCTCTGCGACTACATTCAGGACCTCTCTGCAACAGCAAAATACAATGAGAGCAACAAGTGCCCTTGGATAGGGAGACTTTCAACAGGTCCTCAGCATACGGGAGGAATGTGCTGCCATCAGGCAGGCACAGGTCGTACTTTACCACTGTTCCATACACTGCCAGACCTTCCCTTAACAAATACAAGTACAGGCTGTCTGGGTGGAATTAAGATAAATCTTTGCTCAAATCGACAACTGTTTAATACTTTGAATCTGCTAGCAATGAAACCAAAATCGAATTGGTATATGAACAAATGATATCATTAATAGTTTGCAATTCCGGAACATCATCTCCACTCATCAGTTTGGTTTTGGATTCTGCAAGATGTGAGTATTTAAAGGTGGTTACCAACACACCTTAGTCCAACAGTCACGTCTGTTATCGCTCTGGGAAGCAAGATATACTATCTAATATTATGTAGCATGAGCATTTTTACTTTCACTTTGTGAAGTTTAGAAAATTCAAAATTACCATGCACTATTGTAGAGATCTTGGCTAAAAGACACAAAACAGCTGCTCATTGGCATATTGGTATGGTTCTCACAAGCCCAATAGTTCATTTCCACATGCAGTTATGTCACAGATGAAATAAAAAACTTTTTACAACATTAAGTTTGAGTTTATATTAATTTTCTGCTAAGATCCGCAGATGGAACACTGCTTATTACTACCAAGTCTCACCTAATAAAGGGAATTTAAATTGAATAATTAAATTTGGATCAAATAAGTCAGTAGTTTCTTTTAGATCCCCTCTTAAAATGTTAAMATGTAAATTCTTATCAAAACTTTTACTAATGATTGATATTCACTCTTTTTACACTGACATTTCCATTTCATTTATTTTTATGATTTGATTCTCATTTGATCACCCTGTCTAGTGTTACTTCTTCCTTGTGAGACATAATCTACAAAATCTCTGCTGTGAAATCTCTTGCCACAAGCGCCATTTCATATCAAAGAATAGTAGTCAAAACACTTTTCTCACTCGAACCGAGGGTCTAAGGACAGAGGGTGTCACTACCTGTACAGATTGTAAAGCCCTCTGAGGCAAAATGTGTTTTGTGAATTTGGGCTATACAAATAAAATTTAATTTGATTTGACTTGACTAATTCATGTACCTAGGACAGACACAATGTTCATTAAAATATAACCTTTATTATATAAAATGCTTCTGATACAAAAAAAACGGTCACAAGTGTAAAATAGACAAAAATTTAGTTTAAGATAACAAAAACAGGGTCTTAGGAGTTTCACTGACACAGTGGTTTGATTTGGTGCCTATACATCCTTTAAAATGGCCTGCTTGGAGCTCAGATAGGCACAACTTCAGCTGTGTTGACAGGAAATCCCCCTACAGCCAGTTACCAGACAGCAACTGTAATGTCAGCTGACATAGTATACATTAATCAGGCAACAGCAACATCTTCTTTCAGGAAACCTCAGAATGACCAACACTGACTGTGAGTGCCAAAACACACGCACAAACACACACAGCTTGCTCTTGTTTCTTGACAGTCAAATAACACACTGAAATCATTGTGTTTCTCTTTGTCCGAGAAGAGATTTTTGTTCATTTATGTATATGTCTCCACTGTTTTGGTGTTGGCGCTTTTGCTGATATTTATGTGCTAGAGTGACAGCAGGCCGAATATAAAAACATTAAAAGCCTAAATCTAAACTTGAAACGACTAACTGTGAAGATGAACAATTGATTAGTAAATGATGCAGTCTGTACAGCTACTTTGATGATTGTGGTCCCAGTCTTGTTATTACACAAAAATACTGAAATCAAGTAAATGTTGCCTTGTACATCCCCCACATCAATACATCTGTGGTGTGGGCAGGTCAGTTTCATTCGTGTTTATTCCCTTAAGCATCATTTTGCCTCTTGGTCATTTATCAGATTATAAGAGTAAGCATCAGAAGTACATCAGGTGACTGTGTTCAGTGGTTGTTCAGGAATCTTTCAGCTAAAATTGCAGTCAGTTAAAGGATATTAACTGTGCTTTAAACCAACTGCCTAACAGAGTCTAAAACAGCATTCCTTGCCCACCTTACACAGAGAATGGCCAGGTGTGTAAGCAGACAGGGTTTGAACTTCTTGTGTTTTACGATCCATTGTGTCAAGACCAGAAGTTACTGGACAGACATCAGGGTTGATTTATTTGAAAGCGCACTGAAACCTTCAGTCACTTTTTGGAACCACTAAAATGTCTCAACTGGAACTCTTTCAACCTTTCACTTTACCATCCCAAAAAAAACCCTGTACAAAATGAATGACACACATAAGAAAAAACAAATACAAGTTGCTATAAAAATAATTTGTTATAACTGTCAAATAGCTTGAAGAGATACTGCCAGTATGCGAGTGGTACTTATGGGCTTTCTGTGTAATTATATGTTATAGTAACTGGTATAAAATGTACACAATAGCAGCAAACATACTTTTGGTAAACTGGATGATGAGAGTGAAGAAAAGTTGATGGAAGATGTTCAGATTCACAATGAAAAGCATCCATTTGTCACAGCTCACTCATAACACATATGTACAATAGCTGTACATGTTGATATTAATTTGGTATGTTGTTGTCATGTAGTCATTTCATGGGACCAATGGCAGGTTCATCTTAGTTGGATTGGGCAAATCTCTACCAATTCAAAAGAGCCCATATTCAACTACATAGAATTACCAATTTGAAATGATGAGCGACACAATTTCAAAATAATGTACAGAATACTTCACACTTTGATCTAGGCTCTGATCCATCCATCCACTCATCCATTCATAATTCAACACATTTATTATGTCATCATCTATAAAATTATCTAATATCCTACATTAAGCAAAAGTCTTGTATGTTTTCCAATTATTCATCCATCACTCAACCTCTAATCCGTCTATCCTGAGCTTGTTTTCTGAGTGACAGTGGATCAGCCAGAATGAATAAAATAGCAAACAATTCCTCTCTTATCTATTTTTGTTACAATTAATTCAAATCCTATATACAGTCTTGCTTCTGGTCTGCCAAAAAGGATGCTGTGAGGAAAGAGAAGACAAATGGTGGGAAGTTAGGAGAGGGGTTTCTGGGCTTCCATGCCTTGGCTTTGTTCTTAATTGATAACGTGGCATTGAACCTATGGTTTCCACACAACAGCAGTGCCTTTTGGTGACTCTCTAAGTTAGAGATTTCAGGTGAGGCCAGGAGTTGGGCTCAAATTTGGTCAGAGGGAAAGCTTGAAATTTTGTTGACCAGCAAAGGAAATGTTTCTTCTTATGGAGGAGTAAAAATGATTAAGTGGGATGTTAGAGCAGAGCACATGGGAGACAAACTGATCAAACAATGGTCACCCTGAGAGCTCCAGTTAGACTGGAATGATGATATGAACAAAGTGGGACATAGGAATCTTGAAAAAGGCACTTCAACCTAAGCAGCTGAGATAAAGCAGCATGTGTGAGCCGCTCAGGGCTGAATTTGGCACATTAGTTCTTTCCCTGGTAAAGTGGGCCAGACGAGGCCACTTCTGAATGAGGCAAGCATACTCTGTCCTTTCCATCCTCACAGGACTCTTGGGCTGTTGGAGGGTCACAAGGAGTCGGTGCAGGGTGAGGGAGGAGGGGGGCAAAGGTGAAAGTAGGAGTGCTCTGTGGATGGGGATGGAGGGCAGCTGTCCTCAGCTGATAGGTACTGGGAACGGGGAGTGGGGGGTGGAGGGTAGGGATCAGAGTCTGAGTTAAGGTCCATGTAGTATTTGGTGTGTTTGCCATGGCTGCCATGGCCCACGGCCTTCCAGCGGCCTGTTGATGATGCCAGCCCAGTCGGCAGGTGGTGGGGGGTGTAGTCACTGTCACAGACGTCAGTGCTGCAGGGCGTAGTAGGCGGGGCAGTGCCACGGACTGGATGGTAAGGTCTGATGTGGGAGACATACAGTTAGTTTAGTACAGGGTTACGGTTCTATTACATTTAACTTGTATTAAAAAGTCATTTCAACACGAATCAGGATACAATAGTGTGGGGGTCGGCAGGTCAGTCTTGCCATTGGCAATTTATTTTCTTAGCCTTTAGATGGTGGGCAAGAACATAATCAAAGGCTGTTTCAAAACATCAAACAAAAGTACCACAGATGTGTGTCTAGGTTTTGTGACAGTATTAAAGAATACGCTGGCAATAATGTCCATAATCTGGCTTCACTACTTTCCAACACTGACTGCCGAAAGACACTGCAGAGGTAGCTGGGAGAGCACCTTCACCTGGACCAGAGGATCATTCAACGCAGGTGAGAGCTGTTAGCTGAATGATCCTCTGGTATAAAAGGCAGCAGCAGGGATGCCTCAGAAAGACAAGCAGAGAGAACTGAGGACTCAGAGAGACCATCTTGTGCACCATCAGGTATCAGCTCTGATTAGTTCAAATGAAAACAATAACAGTGTAAAGAAGTTATTGATTATCAATGATAGCAGTAACAATTGATATAATAATGAATTACTAATAAGTACTGTTGTAATAATAATAATAGTTGTTCTCCTGCAGTTCTGGAGGCAGACATACCTGCAATGAGAGAGAGAAAGAGAGAGAGGGACTATAGGAGAAAAAAGAAATATAGTTATTGACATGTATTAAAGTAAATAAATGGGGGGGGCAGAGAGACAGAGAGAAGTGCTCAGTGGATGATGGGAGTTCCCTCTGCAGTCTAGACCAATAGCAGCATAACTACCGGATGGTTCAGGACTCATCTGATCCAATTCCTTTCAGTTCACAATATTCACATCAATATCAATTTATAATTTACAGCATCTGTTCATTGCACAATATTTAGCTTCTCAGTTCAACAGTATGTTCTGCAGAGGTATACATAACCATATTGACTATTTCCTTGTATAAAAGTAGTCCAAATAAATACCAGTACTATACAATATGAAACCGTGCATCTGCTGCTCCTGCAAATATTTCACAATAAAAAAATGTTTTTAAACAAAAGAATGGATTCAGTAAACAGAAACGCTAGAGTTCTTTTATTTTGAAACATAATACAGGAAGTGTTGCAACCATATATGTTTGTGACATACATTACAGCTGTAATTCAGCAGTGCTGCCCAAGGAGAGACCCAACGTCCCCCGCGAGCTAAGGAGAAGGAGACGGGGTAATCATGCCAGTGTTCCAGTTTAACTGGGGATCATGGCAACTGGAGATTTGTTGTCTTTATTCCAGATGTTGCTGGTCAGTTGCAGATTCGTCTCAATGAACGTCTCAATGAAATAATGGAGGATGGAGCCTTCACCCTGCCCACCTTCACCCAGGTCACATGCCACCCACTTTGCTGTACCAACCAAGACTGTACGGTACTTCTCTAACAACAAGCTATGGATCAATCCACATATAAAGGCCCTCCTCAAGGAGAAAATAGGGCTTTTAGGTCAGTGAGTCCAGAGAGTTTGGGGATCGACAGTGAAGGTTTTAGAGATCAACCAGGAGATCTCGATCGACTGGTTGTCGACCACAGCATTAGAATATTACAGAAAAATCCCAAATCGAACAGTTCTCTCTGTGAGCAAGCACACTCATTAACCGGAAGAGACCTATGGTAGAACCAGAATCAATGTAGGCTGGCATCTGCCTTGGCCGCTTGGGATGAGCAAAGTAAAAATGTGGAGAGAAAGGGGTGGCAACAGCGAGGAGTGAGAGAGACCAAGAACAGTTGTGTTAGTCATATTTTAGCACTGCCAGACTGCTTGTTATAATGATGATAATTGACAATTCACAAGAACTGGATGAACAAACATCCTGAAAATGTAATGCCACTGACCAATGGCTGTTGAAGACATCAAAATAGAGGTAAATAACTGCTGGAGGAGCAAAAACAGTCCAACACTGAACTTGCATTGGAACCAATGCTTGATGCAGCTGCTTTTTAATCAGACATTTTGCTGGTCAGGTGGATATGATCCATTTGAGACGGTTTGAGTTACCTGTATGATCTGGTGGTGGACGGACTGTTGGAAGAGTAGAAAATCTCTGTGTTGTAGAGAGAGCGGTCAGTAGCCGGGGATGGAGGTGGGTTCAGGATCTACAAATGAAAAATCTGTGTTATATTTGACTTTGTTATTTGACTGTCAAGAGACAAGAGCAAGCAGGCCAAAGCAGCCTGAGACCCAATGATCTGCTTTTTTGTATGTGTGTGTATGTGTACCTGAGGGTAGAAGGCTCCCTTGGTAGATGATGAGCTGCTAGATGAGGCTCCAGTCACATGGTTCCTGTCGTAGAGGGGTGCTCCACTGCTGTTGCTGCCCATCAGGCTGACGGAACTCATCATGGACTTTCCACAAGAAATCCCTGCACAGAAATTCACATTTTAGACAATAACATGAGTATTGTGTATCAGTAACATCATCACGGCTATAGTGTGTCTGATCTTACCTTGGAAGGTGCCATGCTGGGAGCTGCTTGGGGAGATGAAGTTCAGGGGTACATGGGGCGAACCACCAATGTACTCATGAGGAAAAGTCCCACTAGGGCCCTTGTAGCGATGACACACCACACGCTGGCAAACAACATAAGCTGCCCCAATAACAAAAACCAGCAGGATGATGGCAATGACTGGACCGATGGTGTTGGGCCCTGTGTTGGGGATGTCACTGGAGGGAGGTGAAACATTCTCTACATATGGAAAAAAAAAATTCTGGTTTACACATTGTTTTACACTGTATAGTATGTTGTAGGAGCTTTTCAATGTTTTTACCACAAGCAAGCTCATCTGATCCGTCGGGACAGTCAGAGTAGTTATCACACTGTTGTTTCTTGGTGATGCACTGGTTGTCACTACAGCGGAACTGATTGGGAGGGCAGATAGCTGCAAGAGAGGATACACAAATTGGAGATCCTTGTAAAATACACATTGAAATTCTGCTTGCATGTTAATTCTTCAATAGAAGAAAACATTTTTTGTCAATATAAAGTTTTAACAAAAAGCCACTGATGCACCAGTTTAGTTGGATTGTACTCAGGTAATTAAGAAGTCCAGGTAAGATTCACATTTTGGTTGATTTATTTTCCAGTTCAAAGGCAAACCTACATGTGCTTCTCTTCATGCTCTGGTTAAAAACCCATGCCCTTTCCTGCTACCTGCTGCTGCATCTGCTACCTTTATTCTGAATCCTACCTGGTATGGTGCTTAGTGCCCCCTGGTTTCTACAAATATAAACAAAAAAAAACACAAAACACAAAAAATAATATCATAACATATCAAACTAATGAAATAGCTCCTACAGAAGTAATCAAATAATATATAGTTAAATACTGATGGGTCTCTGTAGTTGGCTTCTTTTACATTTATTACTTGACCATAATATTAATCACTTATTGTTATAGACTTAAGAGGACAGGAGTCATTTGCAAATCTGAGGTGCATGGATTCCAGTTTATAATCAGTTTATAATCTCAGTTTACAAATCCAAGAGCACACATTTACACATCTTATTTTTCTCATCTGAGCATAGGGAGGGGTCTGTAGGACTGTGATTGCAGCACTATTCCTCAGCAACATAACATTTATTTATAAATATTATTTATAATTCTGTGGTGGCCATGATGAAACTGTTATGATGATATCCACTGTTTCAAGGCTAAACCTACTTTCACAGTCCTGCTCATCAGAGTCATCAGCACAGTCTTGTTCCCCGTTGCAGCGCCTTTGAGCATCAATACAGCCTCCTTTATCACACAGGAATTGGAAGGCCAAGCACACGGGACAGTTCTCCTCATCACTACCATCTTCACATTCAGTAACACCATCACACCGCCAAGCCATGGGAATACAGTCGATCTCCCCTGTGGAGCAGGTGAACTGCTCCGTAGAGCAAGTGGGAGGCTCTGAGAGACAAAGGCATTGTTTGTTCATTGTATGATGGAGAAGAGGACAAGTACATACTATTAAATGCAAATGGTATGATTGAACACAGGATGTCAGGAGACCATAGAGATCTCAGAGTCAATGAGTGTGTCACGTCAGTTCAATTAGACTGAAACCTGAAACCAAGTGAAGAGGGCAGATCAGTTTGCCTTCCCAAGCTTCACAAAATAATGTGTAAGGAGTGAATTTTGATCAAAATGCACCATGATTCTTATGACAACTGTTCACCTCCACAGCGCAGCAGATCCTGCAGTAACACCAGGTGCATTGGACAGGAGCAGCGAGGTGTACCATCACCCTTAGCAATGCAGATATGAGAACAACCCCCGTTGTCACGGGAACAAGGATGGGATGCTGGAGAGAAAAATTGTCATTACTAAAAAACATTCCTACTAAACTAATACCTTAAACAAAGCCATTGACACAGCTTACTGCAATAAGCTACTCAGTCCATGTGTCAGAGCAGCATAGTTCCATACCAAATTCCTGTGGGTCCATCTCTTCCACAGCATGTATGGAGGTCAGGTATGATATCCGTCCCTGAATGCGTGTGCGTCCATCTCCTGTCAATTTGTCCACCCTCTCTATCATTTGCTGCTGCCGGTCAATCCAGTACAGATGGCCTCCCATGACTGTCAGCCCCATTGGCTGGAGAATGTTGGAATCCTGAAGGACAATGCGATTGGCTCCTGGAGGAGATAGAGTAATGTCCATATGAAATCTTCTGAATAACAAATTAGTACAACCTGACCAACCTGTCTAGATTTCTGAAAATAAAATTGGAATGTTGTAAATATATAATTATATAATATACACATATCATTAATATTATTATCAATCTTAAAACTTATTACATCTTCACTGACACACACTATCATAGTTACAAAGTGTGACTGGGATTTAAGTGATAAGTGGAAACATTCAGTTGGACATTTTTTCATTCTGAAACATCTGAAAGTCAGACGGATAGGTACCAGAGAAGATTGTTCAACTATTATTCAATTCAATTTGAAAATTATTGAGAATCTCAACATTTTGAACAATATTGCAAGCACTTTGAAGAGAGAAAACTCCATCATTAATCATAAAAAGCCTCTAGCAGAGGTAGACTCGATGTGAGCAGCCATCTACCTTGACATGTTGGGGTGAGAGAGGAGACATGGGTGGAAAAAAGGAGGGGGGAGAGAGAGGAGAGGAAGACCAGGAACAGTTGTGTAACCATCATATTAAACTCTGTCAGACTGGTTCTTATAATAAGTGTGATATTTACAGATGTAATGATGTTATTATTGATAGAACCAGTTTGTATTTCTATTGACTCACCTGTAAGATCACTGCTCTCAATGCGTTTCAGGTCAGCATCGACCCAGAACAGTTTTCCCAGTTTATTGTCCAGAGCTAGAGCTACTGGTCTAATCAGACCCGTGGTAAACAGAGATTCTCTCTCTGTCCCGTCCAGACTGGCGCCTTCAATTTTAGCTGAGCGCTCTTGTACTGTGGTGAAATACATGTACCTGCAGTAGGACAAAGGCACATTTATACAGTAGGGGGCACTCACTCTATTCTCACTGTGTCACTGAGATATACCAGTATGATCAGTTATACAGTTCTAATGACTTTTGGGATTACAATAATTTCCTTCCTTACATATAGTGCAACATAACTTCAAGTAACAAAGCATTTATTTTGAGCAGCCACAAAAATAAAAATGAGCTCACCCTTTCTCAGGGCTGACTATGATGGCACGGGGCTTGTCAGTGTCATCCTTCAGGACAACACCCACAGTGTGTCCATCCATCCTCTGGACATTGATGGTGTTGGTTGTCTCACAGGTCCAGTAAATGTGCCGGCTGTACGGGTCAAGGCTCAGGTCATGAAGCTGGTTGTCCACTGGCTGAAAAGTGCTGCTCACTATCATAGACTGGGGACACACACAGCAAGGTAAATGGTTGTATTTATATAGTGCTTTTCTAGTCTTGAAGACCACTCAAAGTGCTTTACACTACAGTTTGCCATTCACCCATACATTCATACATACAGTGCATTTATGAGTAGCACTTTCTTTTTGTTGTTCTATGGGGCAATTTGGGGTTCAGCATCTTGCCCAAGGACACTTTGGCATGCAGATGGGAAGACTGGGACCTTCTGGTTGGAGGACAACAGCTCTACCCCTCAGCCACAGCCACCCCAAGGTGTGGTGGGCTCACTATGTTTCCCAAAAAATGCTATGTTCAGAGGGTTATCCACAATCTGATGTAAAATGGGGGGGGGGAGGGGGGGGGGCAGATCATGAGGAAATTAATCTGATTCCAGGGGATTGACACTCAACCCTCTCTACCTCCTTAGCCTCAGGTGAACCTTTCACAGGTTTCAGTGATGGAAGCAGGGGAAACAGGGTTCCAGACTGAAAAAATAAATTGGCATTATTCAAGTGTCTGATGGGGACACCATCACAACAAATGAAGACTGGTTAATTTGTCAATACATGCCATGTTACGGACTGCACAGGTTGACTGGCCAGAATGGCAAGTGGGGGGTTGGGACAAGAGATAAAGATCTTTTCACCACGTCACATTTCATATTTCATAGAGGTCAGACTGAGTCATTGGAGCCAACATGGAGAACATCCTGTTCAAATGGGAGGATCTACCAGGAGGCTGTGAATCTTTCCCATAATGTCAGACAAACATTCAATTCAATTCAACCCGGACATCGAGCTCGTCGCAGTCGGACTTCGTCCATATTATTTGCHGAGGGAGTTTACCAGTGTTTTCGCCATCACTGTTTATATTCCTCCATCTGGGAACGCAGCAGCAGCGTGTGACGTCATCCACACTGTAACTGCAGGATTACAAACACAACACCCCGGGGCCTTCATCGTCATCACAGGTGACTTTAACCATGCTTCCCTCTCATCCACACTCCCAACATTCTTCCAGTTTGTAAAATGTGCCACCCGTGACAATAAGACTTTGGACCTGCTGTATGCA